CACTTCTGCAGCAGGAACAGGGAGAAATAACCAGGATGTGGAGAGACAGACTAGACAAAAAGCTTTTCCAGAAAGCAGAGAAAACCCAACAGCTTTGTTGTAACCAAAAAAGATACTAAAACTTCTGTCTGTAATTTCTAGGTGCCACAGGTTAATCCGCAAGTCATCTGCAGATAAGTACGTTTCATAATCGCTATTAATGGAGATGGAATTGATGTGATACGTGTGAGCATTGGCAAATATTCTTCGTGGACTAGCTTCAACCATGAGGTCCATGGGCCTGAATACTGGCACCTGCAAAATAAAAAGCAATGGAAGTTAGAGAAGCAACTGTACTACAAACACAGTAGCATTCAAACACACTGCTCACATACACCAAGTCAATTAAAGTATCTCAGAATCACCTCAGAAGTAAACGTCTGCCAGCTAGCATCACAGAAAACTTAGCCTTAATAACGTGATGGGGCAGTTACTCACTAAGCCACAGGCTAATCTGTGGTGCCAGGGGGAGGGAGAGGAGAAATCACTTGAGTGTAGCTAATCCATCAAGTGAACTACTCACCCGTAGTGTTGTAACTGTAGTAGGATCCCTATACCGTCCATCTTCTTCCTTTAAATTATAACCCTCTGGTCTTTTGTCCCTTTCACTGATTTTCCATAACTTTATGGTTTTATCTGAAATAAAGCAGCCACAGTTTAAAAAAATAAAATAAAAATCAAAGCTGTAGGAAAGATACTCATCTTCACAGTTGATGCACTTTAACACGAAGCCTTCAAGCAAGACAAGACCACCTACATGTACCCAAAAAGACAAAAATACTGCTTGAAAAAAACAAGAAAAGATAAAAAGCATTTAAAAGACCTCCTCCACAGTTTGTTCTTTATAAAGTTACAGCAAGTTTCAATTAGAATGAGGACTGTTATGAATGATTAATGTCAGCTCGCTCAGTTAGTGATACACAGATGAAGGTGCTCAATGAGAGCTTCACCGAGCCTAAGCCCCTTTGCTCTTAAACAACCATATCAGAAAAGACTAATACACCACCCCATGCTATGGGACTCCTGCATCCAGGTGAGCCAGAAAAGCAGGACAGTTACCAGTGTAACTCCTGCACAGCCACATCCCTAGACACGTGCACTAAAAACCAGCTTGCTTCCACAGCCTTTTGGAAGTGGAGAGAATCACACAAAATCCTAATAGCAAATATATGTAACAAGAGGTTACCATGCAAAATTAACTATGAAGTCATAACTTACCATTTGTAGACAATAAAAACTGAGCAGCATTTTTCTGGGGTAACCACCTAATTTTGTTGATCTTCTCTTCAATTTCTAAACTTTTCAAGTAGTCAAACTCTGGTTCATGGCTTTGAAAGGTACTGTAAACATTGTATTCTCCCCTACTGTGAGACTGGGTTTTGTTCTAAAAAGAGAATTAAATGATCAGATATGTATGCAATGTACAGAATGCTTTTCAAGGCTGCAGGCAGAAGCCAGAACTAGATATTTATGCAGCAAGATACACAGGCAGACTGGTTAGCATAAAAAAATAGCATAAGAATAGGTTAAGACTACACTCTCTGGCTGCCTATGCCAGACCTGCCGCGAGTACCCGTTGATGTACAACTTGCCTTACTGCAACGAGCCTGTGGAACAGACGAAATGAGGATCATCTCTTTTGCAAGGTTTTGATTACAGTTCCTATTATTTTGGCTAAGAAAATGTCAGAGACAGTTATGGCAGCAACTTTGGATTCCTACAGCTTCCAGAAACTCCCCTCAGCCACATGAATATCACCTCCACGTTCTCATGTTAATTCCAAGCAGCTGAGAGTACAAACCAGCATTTAACCTAAACATTGCAGGCATGGTAAGGTTTCTTTCTTTTAAAAAAGAAAAAAAACCCTCAAAAATCTTCATCATCCCCTCATCTTTAATATTTCCACCTTTGCCTTTTAAGAAGAACATTCCCCAAGAGAACTACACAGCCACACATGTCAGATCTATTCTGTGGGCAAGTTCAGCTTGCTAGGCACACTATCGAAATCCCACATGTCACCTCTAAATTTATACAAGCAGCTCCACATTCCCCAAGACCTTCTAAACTGCTTAAGCAGCTTTTTCTTCCTCATTCTGGAGATGGGGGTGGGGAGGAAAAAAACCCCACCTCTGCTATAATACACCTTTGACATGACAAGTCACACCTGCAGTCAGCCTGTGCAGGATGGAACTGTCTGGAAAACTGAAAAGCCTCCAAACCTGCACAATTCCTCTTCCTACAAGTTGTGTTTTAGGCAGTGGCTTCCTAACACTAATACTGCTCTGCGTGAACTGAACCTGAAATTCCAACCATTGGGTGACAGCAAACTGGAGCCATTCTGGAAGCAGTGCTTACCAGGGGTACCTGAAATTAATTCAACCTTAATTTTGCAATATATTCCTGTCCTACTCCCTCCACGAGGTTGCACCATCAGACACCTTTCCTGTGATATGTTCCTGACTAGGGACTTTGCTGCTTCTTTCCCTTGTGTGTCTCATGTCCATTTATTCATTTCATCCCTTAGCACCTCACTAGAACATACTTCTTGATACAATCCTTGCAAGGCCACATGTATCACATTCCTCACATCATTTTCTCTTGCTTCATACCCTTACATTAATAGCTGGCAGGAGTTTTTACACTTTTCAATAGGCTGTGGGGGAGGGAAACGTGAACAAAATGCTTAGAAATACAATTTGGCACTAGGATGTTGTACCACACCTATCAATTGCACTGGCTTTCCCACCCTAGAGAATGGAAGAACCTTTGTTCCAAGTTTCAGTTAGACCTACCAAGTTAAAGCAGGGTCACTGCCCAGAACAGGCGACTTGAAAGGAAATCTCTTGTGCTTTAGGAAATGCTGGTCATGATTCAGGGAACTTTCCTTCAATTCCAAACTTACCATAACAACTGAGTCTTAAATATACTTCTTGTGGAGTCTAGCAAGACTCTCCAGGACTAGAATATAAAGCCAGTAAGAGATGAAATCAACCCTTGGGATAAAGGCAAAATTTAAACCATCCGACTATCTCATGGCACTCAAAAAAATCCACCCAAGCAGAGGTGTTGGCCCAAGTGCCTCATGTTAAATTCCAATTTAGGTAATTACAGGCTGCCTACGCAAATTCCTCCTTCAGTTTCAATTAGATACAGTATTCATTTCCTGCCTGCTCCTTGTGTAATGTCACTTGCTTCGCCTTGCAGAAGGGCCGCCACATTCCAACCCAGAGGTGGCAGCATTTTGGTACTGGGTGAAGTTGTACAAGCTTGTATATTAAGCTTATTGTGCTTGTGGGTTAGTGGTTTTCTTGCTGTACATATGGTCTGAAAAGCACTCAAATGCAGTGTGATAGGAAGCGGTATGTAAATCCAACTGAAATAGTTGTCTTTTAGATACTCTTAACACATTAAACTTGCTCTAGACAGTTGTGCATGTGGCACAACTCACTGGGGAATCAAGTCCCCATTGCTCATTCCCTAAACACTGAGAAGTCAAAGTATGCCAAAACCAACACTGTGCAACTCAATCTGATAACCCAGGTGGTTCCTACTATACCCAGCTTCATAGATTGTAATGATATGAGCCATAGGTTACACATCAAAACTAAATGTAGGCATTTAAAGACAACTCATTTGCGAACAAGCAAGTAGCTATTTAAACTTCATTAAAAGATCCTTAAAGGATGCAAGCTCAGAATGACAAAACACAAGGGTTTGTGCCCCCAAAACTACAGGCAGATTACAGGCAGGACCATGTCCACCCCAGACTCCAGCCAAAGCAACCTGGGCAGAGGCAAGCCAGCCAGGAGCACCCCACTAGATGGCACCCCCTGATCACGGTGATTTATTTATCAAGAGAAGCCACTGACCTGGAGTTGCCTCATACCTGTGGGATTCTTAAAGTTGAGGATTTTTAGAGTCGAAATTGAATGAAACACTACGGGAAGAAGTATCAGAATGACCTTCCCAGGCAGTGACAAAAGTGCCTTTTATCCTCTCCCTGGAGTAAGTTCTAACCTAGTCAACTTCTAACTACAGCTTTAGTTAAAAACCAAGCACTCCATCTCAGTTCTCCTCCTCTTAACACAAAGGCAGAGGCCCTTTCCTAGCGCCAGAAAATTTGTCTGTAGAATTCTGCAAAGACCAAAAGAACAAGTATAAAATGAAGAGATAACCTTTGCTACTATTATTCTAGGATTTTACCTGATTGATATCAGAAAGGGAAAGGACATCTTGGGTCAGTTACAAACTCACTTAAAGACAACTTTTATTTCTCCCTCTACAGTGAAACCTGAAATAATCATCACAGCCAAGTAGAGTCATTATAAACCAACCAGCTTCAGCTTCTGCAAGGTCTTTTTGTGTCCTACCCCCCCTTTTTGTTTTCACCTTAAGCACTCTTTAGACCACAGCTGAAGAGTGTTTAAAGACAAATTAATTTCCAACAGCGTCACTGAAGCTCTCGATAATTTCTTCACTCTTAAATTTCATTATTTTAATCACTTATTACACATCATGCACTTTGTGTAACCTCCTCTTTAAAAAGAGAATAGGAACAGAGCAGAGCATTAAATATACCTCACAGAGTCAGCCCTCACCTCCTGCGCCTGCTGAAAGATGACAACTCTACCTCCTTTGTCTCCTGTTGCTAACAACTCTCCAGAATGGTTAAATTCTACTGTAGAAATTATATCCGCTGCATGGGAACAGAAATAAACCCAGTAAGTTCATAATTCTTCTAAATGTTAAGTGTCCAAGAAAGCTACAACTGTAAGTAAAAAAGAAAATGCACACTTTGATTCAGTTTAAGTATCCTTATGTTAAAGTGCAAGTAGGGAGTTCTTAAAAAAAATATAAGCTATATATTTCATACTAGTACATATAGTTCCCCATGCCAGAGCTCCAAGTTCAGTGCTGTGCACTGAATTGGTTTTAAAGGTTTTAGATCATCACTTCTTAGAGGTGTTTCTCTGTTGTGACTCCAGTATAGTGTAGAAATGGGTTTTCTATATGTACTGTAACAGCAGAGAGACTGTGCACATACACACTCCTACCTTTATTTTCTCCATTCTTTCTGGTAAGAGACTTAGGTACAATCATTACCCATATGATTTCAAAGCTGGCTAATTTTGTAAGGACAATGTACGCATTTAACAACTCAAGGGCAAAACATCTTAGGGTGGAGATGATCAGACATCAGTGTCTAAGGAATGCAAGGAAGTGGAACAAAAACTACTACAGAAAATTAGGAAACCAATTCAACAGAGTCTCTAAAAAACTTGAGTATCTCTTCTGGATGAGGACAGTTTCCATTACCACACACACTTCTATACGGAGTGCTAAAATTAAATTGGGAATATACATTGACAATGACCTAGTATCAAACTGATCTGCTTGTAGAGCAAAAAGGACAAATTATGACTTAAGCTCACACACACTGATTCATGTTCTCAAACACACACATGGCCCTCATACTTTCAAACAGCAGAATTAGGAGCCAAACCATTCTTCAACCACTCACTTCAAGCTGCAAGACAAACATATAAATCTAGTCTCCTGCAGAAGAAAGTACCTACAATTTTGACACAGGCAAGTCCTCAGGCTAATTCACTCTCAGGTCAGCCTAATGGAAATGCACTGTATCCACATTTCCTATTGGATGGTTCCTTCACGTTTTAGAATTATAAAAGGTCTGGTACCTGCTTTACAGACCAAAAGCTACTGCTGGATTTAAACCAGCACTATCTGCAGCATAGCACAGGCACTATCTTATCACAGACAGCAATAGGGCTATTTCATTGTGAAGCAGCGAAACATGCAGGACTTTCCTCTTATTCATCTTAATACCAAAAAGAAACTTACATCATCCTCGGGTTGTCCCAAACACATGGGTGGTGGCCTCCGAGGACATGAGCAAGCTGTTCTTCCATAACTGCATTACACAGCAGCCAGGAACACGCAGCCTGTGTGTCTGAGCACAGCACAATGCAAAGACAGCCCAGACATACCAGCCAAAAGATGCAGAGTCAGATTCTTGGCATGAACGGATCCATACAGCTCAGTTGTGTTTTCCACATACCCAGCATAAACTGCCACCTGACTATGGCTAAACACAAGATTATCTCCATGGACCTCCCTTGCCACAGTAACCTGGCACTGCTGAAACACAAACAGGCTGCTATTTCTCAAGACCACTGTGTTAAGGACATAAATGTGATGTAAACCTGTGTGTAGATAAACCAGGATCCAGATCACACACAGGAAAACCTTGATTTGAGAGCACATCATTTTTTTTCCTGGAGGTTTGTGGGTTTTTAGCCATTCATTCACATGTTTGTGAACAAGATTAAGTGATTTCTCACACATCTGTAAGACCTAAGACCACATACTATTCAGATGAAGATACGGCATTCAGTATGTATCTATCACAGGTGAATGGGGCATAAAGATAACACACAATTAATCAAATCCAGTCTGCAGAGAGAGTCAAGAGCAAACCAAGCAATCTAATTTTGACTATTCCCTACAATGCAAACCAAATTGCTGTAATCTTCCAATAGGGTAAGACCTCATTGAAGAAAACCAAGATAACTCACCTATCAATAGTGATAACTATACAGAATAATTACGGTTCTGAAAACCACTGCAAGATTTAACACTGCAAGCTATGCCAGTCTTAGAGAAGACAATACACAAGTTAGCAGCAGATATAAGTGGGCACATGTATGAGTTAGGAGAACAGCAAAGAAAAAATTACCTTAAAAATCTTACACATCTATCTAAGCAGAGATGGATAATTTCATCCTAGTACTTACTTGGTGAAAGTCACTGAAAAGTTTTACAAGGTCAAAAGCCTTATGATTAGAACAGGCAGCAACAACAGCTTGAAAAGCCTTAATTTAAAGGGATAAAACCTCCATTTTCTTAGGTCTGCTGATGTAATATATATTTAATAACTCTACAAGTCTCAAATATAGCAGAGAGCTACCCACTTTCTGTACCCATTCTAGGCATTCATTCTTTCTGCATTAACTTTACCTTTCACTATCATCCAAACCCAACAGTGATCTCCAAGGCGATCCAAGTCCTGCTTTGTCTTGATACTCAAATGCATGAATGAACTTTCAGTACTAACATTCCCAACACCTCCAAAAAGTCCAGGAGGCTCAGTCAGCGGTGACAAGGTACTGAAAACTCCCCAGTGCAGATCTACACTATGCAAAAGAGCTTTTCAAGTACTTGCATCAATTTTACATTAGGAACAGAATACATTCTTTAGCAGCAATCACAACAAAAAATTACTCAGTAGTTTTGAAACTCAAGATACATCTCTAGAATCCAACATGCCTTTTACATTGTGATCTTGGACTGTTCCCTGTCCAAGGACAAAACAAATGTGCTAAAAAAAGTAGGCAGAAAACAGATTTCTTCTTAACCAGCCCCAAACCAGGGCTGAGATGCATATTTCATACCCAAAAAATCACTACTGGAGAGCAAAGCAACCAGTCACACAATTTAAATCCGGTAACTCACCGTTAAGGATATTGTATTCCCATACCTTGGTCAAAGAAAGAGACAGACATCAAGGCACTGGTGTTGAACTGGGCGGATTTAATAGTGTTTGAGAATTGACAGGGGAAGCATTTCATCTTCCGCAGTGCACTGATTCACTTGTGTATTTTCATCTGTATTAACACCCCCGTTGCCAAAATAAAAAGCACCAACGTTATCCTTTCCTTTTCAAATGGTAACTACAATTCCCATGACAGTTATATGGAGGCTTATTTTAGTCCTTCAGCACCGCAACGGGCAAAAGAGCATCTATAGAACGCGCTGCCTTCCCCCTCTGCCTCCTCCCTTTTGTGCATGCTATTTTTGCTACAGTCTCTAGGTGGGAGTCTTGCAAACACCGAGGGCTGCTCTCACTGCCCAGAAGCTTGTAAATGATCCCTTCTATACGCAAAGAGCACCCAGGGAGGAATATTTAAGGGAGAAGCGTACGTATAGCCCTCAGTTGTCACCAACACCACTGGCTTTTGGGAACACGATGCATTCTGTTGTTTACTGCTGAATTCATTTCAATGCCCTCTTCTTCAAGCACCAGTATCAAACAACCACCAGAACCTTATATGATAACCATACCCCTCACAGGATACAGTTAGATAGCATTATCTGTTAACAGCTTCCACCAAGTTACCTGTGACTTGGAGATCAGCCTTGTCTGTCTCCTCTGCCCAAACATCTTGCAGCATCTTTGGCACCAAGATGAAGCATTTAAATGCTGAAGACATTTCAAATGCTGAGATTGTTTTAAAACACTACAGGGCAACACCAGTCGCAGAAGGTGAATACATCATTCTGATAAAAGCAAAACCAGGACAGAAATGCAGACCTACATTCCTGTAGGGTACCTGCAATACCTGTACTAAGTCCCTCCCTCTTGTGTAACTTGGGATAGACAGCTCAGGGGCTACTACAGTGTTTAAAAGTACTTATTTGCACAGATGTATTTAGTTCCACTTAAATATCCCTTCATAAACATTTCTGGTTAATACTAGAAACACTTCTGAGACTAAATACTTCCAAAGAATGGGTTTCAGTGATCTGAAAGCAAGGGGTGAATCAGGGGGAGGGCACCCCCTACACAACCTAAAATCTCTTAACTCTTGTTGCACATGTACATTGCTGAGGGACGCTATGAATCAAACAAAACTACAGTATAGTTGTATCCCTGCTGCCTGTGCTTCCCCAAAGTCCTCAAAGCCTCCTCACAGCTCCCCCAGGTACAGCAGCTACACCTGAGTTCCTGGCAATTGCTGTCAAGGTTGCTTCTCCTTTTGCACATGACCTTTTACTTTCTCAGCCTGCTCTAAGGCTTTACGTATTGCTTCAGTGATTCACCTTCACTTTAAGTGCTCCACCAGAAAAATCAAAACCACCAGCAAGGTCTGGACTTTTACTTGCTTTTCACGTGGTACACAAGGAGATGGGAAGCTGACAAACCAAAGGAATCTAAACAAGGTTTCTAGAACTAGGAAGTGGGAATGACAGGGCCACACTTCTCTCAAACCCTTGATAATGCTGTAAGAAATGCTTGAGGTGTGTGCAGCTCACCATGTGAAAGGGAAATGTACCAGAAGCTCCCGAGCAATTCTTAACCAGTGACAGCCACACACTTCTGATATATCATCTAGTAAGAGAACAGTCACTCAACACAAACCTGACCAGTTTCCCAGTGGGCTTCCAAAGACAACAATCCCAGTTTCAGAATTCTTAGTCAATATTTATTACACCAACTGTTGCTGGTGTAATTCACCTGGTCTGTCAGGCAGGATACAGCTGGCATGAAAAACTGAGGCACTGGGCCAGTGCACAGATGAAAGATGACCAGTTCAAGTGAAAATACATTGTTCAATGACAGATGAGTAAAGGAATCCAATCAACAACAATGCTTCCCCCCCTCCCCCCTTTAAAGGAAAGCAGTGTTTGAAATAAGGAAAACTCCGTGACAGAGGCTAAAACACACTTTCATACTCTTGAGGGCCTTGAGTGAATGCTGAACAAGAACCACACACGCACCATCACAAGCAGGTTTGCTGAAATACTAAGAGAAAACGTTGTGCTGAAGTTTGACCACTGTTAACAGGTCTATGGAATGAAAGAATAAAACAGCATCAGCCATCCAAACAAGCAAAA